TTTTTTTAATCATAAATTAAAGTTCTTACAGTGTATTTGAATAAAAATCAAAAAAATCTGATTTAAATCAAAAAAATCCGATTTAAATCAAAAAAATCTGATTCTTTTGATTTTTTTTAAAAAAATCAAAAAAATCACGAACCCTGGTTACATTAGAACACAAAAAAAGGATATACTTTGTAGACTAAATCAAGTACAAATGAAAAGGGACATGTTTCAGTTCTATTATAACTAGTAAATCATTTGTTTAGAGCAGCCCACTTTCATCGAATGGTGGATGGCTTAGATATTTCTCTTTCTCAAGTGTCTATTTTGATTTTCTTTTTTATATGTCTACAATTGCTTCACATTTATTGGACAAAACTGACATAAATTGTGTTTTCAATATTATAGATCCTTGCATACATTTCGCATTTGAACAGGAAAATAATAAGTGTTTACCTTTCTTAAACCTTCTTATCACTCGTAATTGTGATAAATTACTGTTTCATTCCATTCCCGTAACCAGAAGATAGTTGCCTTGTTTACTGCACTTCTGAAGTTTGTTCTAATAGTAATTTACCTTGAATCGATTACTAGAAACTTCTAATATTATTAAGTGCAAACTTTAACAATTTAATTGTTTTACCTTATTATCCAAAAATGAATAGCTGAGGTCTGAAATACAAAACTAAAGCAGAGAAGAAGCTATGAGTACAATAAGTTGATTTACTACACTGATGTGTCAAAGCATCCTTCTCATCTCTGAAACATCTTGGATTGCCAATGGACCCTATACTTTTTCCCTTTTTCAGCAAAAAATGCTATTTAATGAGATGTAAGCTTTTAAATCGACGTTTCTTGGTGGCTTTTAAAACAAAAAGGCCCAATAAAAGAGAGGTTCTTTGATTGACATATTTTTTTTTAAACCAATGACATTACTCATTTTCTGCATACACTAGAAACATTCGAAACAGATTAAAAGACTATCTTGGCTCACAGTTTAGTTCATATTCGAGGAGACTTTGTTTGATTTTAAAAGTATTCCTCGAGTTTTAATAATGCAGCGAGACTAGAAAAAGAACAAATCTTCGAAGACTCTACGACTGACGTAAAAAGTAACAATAACTTGCGTTCCCATTTATAGATTATTGAAAATATTATTACAACATAATGGGATTTTTATTGATCATTACTGTAGGTCACTTTAATTAATTGATTTTAAATGGATTATTTCAAATGCAAATTACGTATACTTCTCAATGGAAAAATTCCTTTACCTTCAAAATTAATGTGGAAAAAGTATAATGTTTTTATTTTAGGCGAAATGAATAATTTGTTTTTAAGGAGGGCGTTCTACTCCAACTTGTTAAAATGGCCAAATTTAACGTACTGTGAGCAAAATAAAAAGTGAACGTTCAGAATTACTTTTGATCTAATCTAATGATCACATACTCTATCTTAATAGTTTGAAGACCTTTAATACGTTAATTAATAATGACGACATTTAAAGTTATGGAATCAGACGCGATGAAGCACTTTCTCAGGATTTTCTCGGCAGATTTCGTATTCATGGCCACAATTTGAAAAATATTATCCCAACAAATGGAGCCCTTCATGGCACTTTTTGCTACAATCTTGCGGAAATTGATTGATGAGTGAATCAAAAAGGCACACGATTCTTTTATCTGAATATAATTCCATGTAAAATAATGATTATTATGAGATATTTTATCTAAAGAAGGAAATTGTAAGGTCAATGGTAAGTATGTAATTTTAAATGAAAAATACGAAATTTAAATGAAATGGGTGGAATAATTTTAGTGAAATCAAGTTTTAAATATACAACTCTTTATAATTTATTAACTGACAAACTATTCAATCGTTCAAATTTCCTATAGTGTTATTTAAAATTACATACTTTAAAATGGTTTAAGAAATGGTGCACATTACAACTCTGAAATTTTTTAACTATTATTTGATTAAATAATTATGAAAATTGTTTAAAAATGAAATTATCTTTGGATTAACGAATGTACAAAGATCTTTTGATGCGTTGATAAATTTCTAGAGATTTAGCGGAATGGGCAAAAAGGTGAAATTTACGTTAAGGGGTCCAAACTTTCAACTGCCCTCTTATTGAGACCATTTTTTCCAGATTGCGATTAGCTAACATCCACATTTTAAGGGTTAGAATTCCAAATCCGCGGAAAGAAGGCACGTTTATCAGAGAAAGAACATTTTTGTGCTTGATTTGTATAAGCTAAATATCGTCTGAATTAGTAAACTAGCACATTTGAGATTTGAACCAATAATCCATTCAGTCCCAATACGGGAAAATCGGATTATTTAATTAAAAGTTATTCGGGGTGTCCAGTTTTTTATTTTGCGCACACCCTTTCTCAAAAAATATTGTATCAATTTTCAAATTCTCTGTTTTTTTTCTTCATGGTATGGTGCACAATTTAATAAGTTTTTATATTTAAAAAATATTGAATTATCAGCTGTAGTTTTTTTCTCTCTATTATACTCAATTTATTTATTACAATGAATCAAAAATATTCCACATATTTAATATGTTGTACAGTTAAAGTTGCGAACTAATAATAAGTTAACTTAATTATTGAATAACTATATGTGTCCCGCAGTGGACTGATCGTTAAGACAAGGCTCCCAGCAGATCACCGCAACACTGGCTGAGGGCAGTGTGCGGATGGGTGACCACTTGGATCAGCCTGCGTAGGGACCGAGGGTGTGCGGTATGAGTCCTCGTTAAACTGTTCTACCGTAAAGTGCTCGACTTCGCGTGCAGGTCGTCGGGCTACCGAAGCGGAGGAGCAGATCAAAATTGCGATGGCATGTCTTCGGGTCATCCTCAGGGATGTTTCCCAGACCGTCGCCAATAGCCCATTGTGCAGCTCTAGTGCGGCGTAAATGAACAACACTATTTTCAAGATTAATTTTTTAATTGTATTCCTTCGACAAAATTTTTTCTTCAAATTCTACATTATTTTTAAAGTTACTGGGGGGCTAAGCCTGCTGTCGCTCATCAAACCCGATTATTGCTTTGCAATAATTGTCGTTTCTTGGCAAAAAAACAGTTTTTCTACTAAAGTTAAAATTATTAACTTAACATCTATGCACTAAAAGGAATTCTGTTTGCTTGTGCCTCCTCTTCCCACGTCCAAATATTATTATCTGCAATTAGTATTATAAAAATTAGATCTATTGGTGTCAAACAAATTTGATGAGTTCACAACCATAATTTAATATTTTCGCTCACCAAACAGGCAGATGTATTAAATATTTTTGTTTGCATCTTATTGTTGCATGAAGCTGATCATTGAGTTCTAAATCATTTCACAGATCTCTTTAACTGTAATTTATAACGGTATATTAATATTATCTGCGCAAAAATTATAATTGTAAATAAGGTTAGACAACCTTTCTAAATAACTTTGTCTTAAAAAGTAGCACAGATAATAATTAAAAAAAAAAATAAATAAAATTTCTTTGTCTTTAACTCTTGAATTAAAAACTTAATAATAACAGTACAGAAAGAAAGAAAAACTTTAAATTAGAGATACAAAGATATTTATAAAGAACCAATACCTTTACGGCTTTTATTAATTGTGTGTTGATGACAACCAAAACAATGAGGAAAAACGGGATGGTTTTCCGGCCAATTCTCTATGTGTGTTATCATTTCACTCTCTTCTTAAATTATCTAAAGATATCAATTTTACGTAGATGCTATTCGCGCGCAGGTCGTCGGGCTACCGAAGC